AATATTGTTTGACACATTTTGCACGGACTCTATCGTAAAAAATAAAGCAAAAGCGCGTCAGTATTAAAAAAAAAAAAAAAAAAAAACAGCGGCTTCGGGGGTAAAGGAGCTCCTGAGAGCCGACCGAGGCGGGGAGGAATGAGAGAGAGAAGGGTACCGAGGAACCGGAGCAGAACGAAACCGAAACTAACTTGACCGGAAACGAAATCAGATTATACTTAATACTGCCCGCTAGGAGCGCTACCTGTCACCGGTCTATCTGGGCCGCTGGGGCCTAAGGCAGTGTCCGCTCTTTACCTTGTGTATATTACTCTATGGTCGGGTTTTCGTCAAAACGAGCCCTTTCGTTTTCGGCAAAGTCACGCGCGCAGCTGGCGTGGAGCCAGAGAGGAGTAGGCCACGCGCAGCAGCTCCTAGATAACAGAGCCGTAGTGCTGAATGAGATGGCTTAATCAGAGAAAGCCAACGCTGGACGCACACTGGAAACGAGTGCCGCGTCAGCGCTCGGCTTCGAGTCAAGTTTGAGCCGAACGTTGACGCAATCGTCGTGTCCAATCTCTGCCCTGCGTTGGCCTTCTCTGATTACGCCATGTCATTCAGCGCTCCCACTTTGTTATCTAGGAAGTGTTGTGCTGCGGCGCGGTAGAAGGTTGGCGTGCCAGGTTGCCGCTCTGCTGTCGCCGATTGTTCTTCGCTCTGGGTTTCTGTAGTAGCGGTGCGTGGGCTGTGAGGTGCGTGTGTAGTTAAAACAATGGATTCGGTTCACTCGATGAGTAATATGGACGTGGTGCTTCCTACGATTCATATGGATGACCATATCAGAGGGCGTCGACGTACTCCGACAGAGTACAAAAAAGGGGTGAAAAAAAAACTACAGGAAAAGATCCTTTGGTTGATTCTTAGGGAATACGTTAGCATGACCCTTGGTAAACGCCTGATGCGTCCACCTTTGCGAAACGCTAATACTGACCCCGTAACGAGGCCAAAAAGAGGCAGCAAAAAATAGAACAAGTAAAACAGAAAGCAAAAAAATAAAGTGAAGGAGTCAGCGTTAGCGTTTTGCAAAAGGGGACGTGTGTGGCGTTTCCAAGGGTCAAGCTAACGCATTCCCTAAGAATCGACCAATGAATCTTCATTTTACTTTTATTAGACACATTAGGTATGGTCCTAATGATGGTATCAGCAATTCGCTAGTTAAAACAGCCGTCTGCGGACGTGGGTGGTCATTGCAGTAGGCTCCGCTATCTTTTGCATCCAGAAGTCTTCGAAGGTGGATCCAAAGAGACTAAGATCAAACAAAACCAGCGACTACGTTCATCCGCCCCCCCCCCCCCCCCCCCAAAAAAAAAAAAAAAAAAAAACGGCGTTGAACGATACAGGGATAAAACTTCGGAAGGCCGGAGCGTGAGATGGGCACAGCGCCAGACCGGTAGCTTCTTGACAGAGACGCTGAGATACCGCTCTCTTCTCTTGCGAGCGTTATCATCGTAAAGCTGGAATTCCAACGTCCACGAAACAAATCGAATTCGGCACTCCGGTGCGGGGAAATTGAGACGAAAGTAAAATTCCGGTGAAGAAAAACAAGTGGTAACAAAACTTGTATCTTCTGAAGGAGAGAGCGAAAAGAGAAGAGGCGAAATGGACCGTTGGGGCGATTTGAAAAAGTAAGATTTCATTTTACTTTTTACCTCTTCCAAAGAAGTTGCCGAATGAGACGAGACAACGCTGCCTTCAAAATCTACGATGATCCTGTTTTGCGCGCCTCCCATGTTTTATTTACAATTGAGCATGAGCCATTTTCTTCTTTTTTCTTTTTCAATTCCTGAGTTTTTTTGCTGTGGTTGTGGTAGCTTTTTTTTTTTTTTCCCCATTCATTTTTCTGTGCTTCGCTTCATGCCTTCTTGGAATCACTGTAACGGTTTTTCGGTTCGCGAAGATACGGCGCAAATCTTCTGTACAAAGCGTGGTTTGTTCAGTTGTTTCCGGATAAATTCCGAATAAAGATGAACCAGCACATGCACTCGATTCACACTTTGGAGACGGCGCCCACGTCAGATATTTCAAGGAAGCATGTTAATGATTAGAAACCTGCCACCAGAAATGACCACGCCATTCATGATAATCTTTTTTAGTGTAGCTACGGATTGCCTCGGAAGCGACCACGGCGGTGAAGCTTGGCAAGTCGTGCTTCACTTTGGTGCGCACAATTGAGTTCCCATCATCCATAGCTTCCTTTACCCTGAAAATGCCTGCCCCATTCCTGGCTTCCCTATGCTTTGGCACATTGCGCCTGGTTCACATAATCACCGCAAGGGCTATAGCCACCTCCACATACAATGACGAGGAAGATTTCTGCACACTGCTACTACCGCAACGTACGTAATTCCAATACTCCGGAACGCATATTTCGTAACGAGTGAGCAGCAATATAGACGCTGTGCACACGCGCCAAATTACAGCCGCCATTGCTGACCTTCTCTTGTCTTGCCGAGATGCCGAGCAACTGAAACAGTAGTTGACGATCCTCTACAAAGTCCGGTGCTTTACAAAAGGACACAGTTGAATCTAATGTGGCGATAACCTGGCCTGCTATGGTAATGATGAAGTGAAATAAACGAAATAAGAAGAAACAAAAACTGAAGGTCAGTTATGGCGGCGTCCATGCACAGCTGCTGCAAAGCGTCTATATTGTTGTGGAACATGAACGCTCGCACCGCAACGAGTGTTGTGCAAGACGAATGCCCCCCCCCCTCCCCCGCAAACAGTGAGGGGCAAACAGTGGGTGTGTGAAGAAATAGGCGCATTTAGAAGTTGACGACGGAACCTGATGAAACCTGGCATTAAAATAGACCAATCTCATCGAGCGTTCCGCGCATGCGTGACGCCGTCGTAACTGTAGTTCATACAAGGCAGACACCAGTTCACGAGACAGCTCATGCCGCCTCGAGCTCTGCACGCGCAGACCTCCAGCGGGGTTGTCGCGCGTGCAAAAAGACTACAGCTCTCGCGATTCATGGCGGCAGTGGTGGCGAACTCAAACTAGCTAGCAAGATCGGTCTATTACCTTCTGTCATAAAATATGTAGTTTTCAAAAGTGAATAAAGGTAGGAGACAGTAGGTATGACCCAACACGAATTACAAGCCAGGAGGACGAGCAGGTGGTAAACTTTAACAATGTCGAAACAGCGGACACAGAAAGGTATCATTTCTAATGTCAAAGATCATGCGAAGAGCAGGTGAAGAGAAAATGCAACGGCCAAGGTCCTCTGGGGTTACAATCGCTACAGAGTCCCCTAAGCAGTGTGTATGATGTTAGCTGCGTCAAGGTTCTCGTTTCGTAATGACGTGCTGTGCCCGTTATCAGGCACTCCTCACTACCTCGAGCTGCGAGAGAGTCCTAAAGAGGTCAGCCACTCAAACAGCACAGAAAGGTGCTGTGATACGGTACATGGTCTGATCCACCTTTGTCGAGAGTGAGGCCCGAACCAAGCTGAACTGCCGAGGCTTCAGTCAAACGAGCTTTAAGGTAGGCCTATCTTCACAGTCATTTCTTCATGTCCATTACATAAAGGTGCCTACTACATACCTTGGAGTAGCAGAAGGTAGAATTTCGAAAGCAATCTTTTCTCAAATTGGGCTTTAGTCACTTTTCATGGTACCGGGTGTTGCTTGGGGTCTCCGGACATGAAATTCCCGGAACCTCTTTTTGCAAGTCTGCATAAAACAAACCAACAAAAACGCGAGGTAAAAAAAAAAAGAAAACCCTTTTAATAGCCATTTACAGCTACCTCGTGAATTGCCCAAAATAGCACAAAGAATGCAAGAATGCACGAGAGGGGCTTAGTCACTTCCTTCCACTGATCTCTACAATAGAGGGCTGGATGGCGCATTGAGCAGACAGGTATGAAGCCACCGGAAGTAAGCGGCTTGTCCCGGAAGTGAGAGCTTGACAGGCCTTTCAACTCTTCCGAGGGCCGGTTCGAACAGCGCTCAGGGAACTGGGTTTCTTCTTGTCATCCCAAGAGAGCCTGCTTGCTGCGGAGTAGCAGTGCATGCGGACCCGAGAAGTCTCCTGGGAAGTCATTCGATGTGAAAATTTGACATTCTAGTTTATCAAGTGTACGTATGTCCCACGTTCCAATGCCTTATTCGTGGGATTTAATCCAGAACGGGAGTATTAAAACTCAGTCAAAGACACAAAAAAGCATGAACCAAAATATCGACTAAATGAACTAAACAGCCCAGCGCACGCCCGACTCCCGGGACACGAATCGAACTTCCGGTGGCTTCACTTGCGCCAGGCTCGGAGAGCAGCTAAGCGCCATCCAGACCCCTACAGTGGAGATCGCTGCTTCGTCCACGTCGTTTACGTTTATGTCTTGTGTGGGGAAGCGGCACACTCTCGTGGTGATAGCCGGCAACTAACGCCTTATCAGTATAAAGGAGGTTCTGGTACATCTAGGCAACGCACATATTGGAGTTCGCTTATCTTCGCCCGAACAACGAACGTTGCAGCACGACTGTGAGCTACCTATAGTCAAGCCAATGGACCAGTAAGCAGAACTATTACATTTTCAAATGCACATTTATTATATATATTTTTATTAGTATCCATTCGTATTCATGACGCATAAATCATTGTGGTCTACCGAGGATTTGAGCGAAGAATGAAAACCCCATACAACAAAATACAGTCATCGACGCTGACCATGGTGGTAACAAGTGAAACGCAATTATCGTTGTCACTTGACAGATGTTTACTTTTCGGTGAAGCGTTTTTCCGTTGCAGATCGGCTACGCCGCCACAAGTTGCAGATCGGCTTCAGTTGCAGATCGGCTACGCCGCCACAAGCACAGTGGCGCTTGTCATCTTATCTTCCACCTTCTCTCTCCCTTTCCCTCTCGCCTTCCTCTTGCCTGTCTACCATATAAAGCGCAAGCTGCGCACGAATAAACGTTGATTACCAGCCGCTATCGTCACGTTCTTGCGGCGTCGTAACAGTGGCGACGAGGATGGGATAGTATATCTTCCGCTGCTCTGTCGGCAGACATGGTCAGCTATGCAGTTCCGCCGCAGTTCGACGAGGCCGTTGACAAATGGCCCGCTTACCAAATCCGTCTGGAGGCGTTCTTCGAAGGCAACGGGGTGACAGACGGGAAGAAGAAACGCGCCTTACTCGTCGCAGCGCTGAGTACCAACACCGTGGACGTCATCAGCGGACGCTGTGCTCCAGCAAAGGTAAATGAGCTTCCGTACAGCGAAGTGGTCAGCCTTCTGCAGCAACATTTCTCGCCAAAACTGAACGAAACGGCCCAGTCGTATAAGTTCTTCTCCCGCAACCAGCTGCCGGGGGAACCGGTAAGAGACTTCGTTGTGGCCATCCGACAAATAGCAGACACGTGCAACTTCGGGGACACATTGGACCGGATGCTGAAGGATCGGATAGTCTGCGGCCTCCAAAATTCAACGGTGCGTCGGCAACTTTTGGCTAAGCCGTTCTTGACGAGAACCGAAGCCGAGGAAGTCGCCGTAGCAGCAGAAATGGCGGAAGAAAATGTAAAGGAAATGCAACGCGCCACGACAGAGGATGGGGGCGTGCACGCCGTGGGAAGCAGGACGGCAAGGCAGAAATGGCGGGAGACTGAGTCGCCGTGTTCCAGGTGTGGCAGAGGGGGACACCAGCCAGACGCGTGCCGTTTTCGGTCAGCGCAATGCTACAACTGCCGCCAACGAGGTCATATCGCCAAGGCTTGTTTCCGTCGCGCCGACAGACCAGTCACCGCGTCAACAAGGCCAACCCAACAGCACGTCAATGCACTGGCCCCGCGGGATGAACAAGAGTGGGATACCAGAACAGAGGGCCTGTTCATGTTGGGGGCGTCAATGGAACACGTCGGGCACATCGAGACCACTCAGCCTATTGCGGGTACCTTCGACTGGGGGGGCGTGCCTGTCAACATGCAACTCGATACGGGGTCTCCGGTGTCGGTCATCACGTGGCCTACCTACATGCGGCACAAAGCTGCGTGGCCGAGCCTCCAGGATTCTCCTCTGAAGTTGACTTGTTTCCTCGGAAAACTACCAGTGCGCGGGCAGCTGAAGCTCAAGGCGGCCTTGGGAGACCAAGCCAGGGAAGGAACACTGACTGTCCTGGGCTGCTCCGGCCCCAACCTGTGTGGACGCGACCTCATACACGCATTCGACCTGCTGGAGATGCCGGTACTCAGCGTAGCAACAGAAGGTGAGCCTTCGGCCTCCAGTTTCGTGGACAAGGTCAATCTCAAGGGGTTGCTAGACGAATTCGCGGAAGTGTTCGAGCCAGGGCTGGGCCTCATTCAGGGGCCGCCAGTCCACCTTCAGCCTCGAGCGGACGCAGCTCCGAAGTTTTGTAAAGCACGTCAAGTGCCGTACGCCTTACGCTCAAAGGTAGAGGCAGAAATTGACCGGTTAGTGGAAACGGGCGTTATTATCCCAATTCCCCATTCCGATTGGGCAGCGCCTGTTGTGCCGGTAGTAAAGCGTAATGGTAGCATACGCCTTTGCGGAGATTTCAAGATCACGGTTAATCAAGCATGTCGGACTGAACAGTATCCGCTTCCGCGAGTGGAAGATATTCTTGCAACGCTGAACGGAGGCGAAGTTTTTACTACGATCGACTTACGCGACGCGTACAATCAGCTCCCGTTAGATAAGGCATCTATGCTACTCACGACCGTGAATACGCAGAAAGGGCTATTCTGTTTTACTCGTCTGCCATTCGGCATCGCGTCAGCACCAGCGTTGTTCCAGCGGCGTATGGAGTCGATTCTTCAAGGCCTATCGGGAGTCCAGGTCTATCTGGATGACGTCATTATCGCTGAGAAACGTAATGACTGCACCCTACTTAGGAAAGTATTGCAAAGATTTCGTGAGTCGGGGGTACGGGTGCATCCAGGGAAGTCCAAGTTTCGACAGACCGAGGTGGACTTTTTGGGGCACCGAATTAGCAATCTAGGGGTGCAACCTAAGACAGAAAACATAGATGCAATCCTCCAAGTTAAGGCGCCCCGAACAGTAGCCGAAGTAAGGTCCTTTGCAGGGCTGGTGACTTACTACCACAAGTTCCTCAAGAACGCGTCCTCGATCATGGCGCCGTTGTACGAGCTTCTCCGCGCGGAGGCAAAGTGGGAATGGGGACCCAGACAGCAACGCGCGTTTAGCGAGGCGAAGACCCAACTCAAAAAAGCTGACTTCTTGGCGCATTTTGACCCAGACAAGCCGTTAATTCTTGAGTGTGACGCGTCACCATTGGGCATTGGCGCCGTACTGTCTCATGATGTTGGCCAGGAGGTCCTGCGCCCCATAGGGTTCCGCTCTCGCACACTCACAGCCGCCGAGCGGAATTATTCACAGTTAGAGCGGGAGGCCCTCGCTTTGGTGTTCGGTGTGTCGAAATTCCGAACATACCTCTTGGGAAGGTGTTTCACGCTCGCGACTGACCATAAACCCTTGTTGGGGTTGTTTCATCCTGATAAGGCCGTACCGGCGATGGCCGCGGGGCGGATCCAACGGTGGGCTCTGCTGCTGGGGGCCTACAACTACGTCATCCAGCACAAGGACGGCAAAGCCAATATTCCGGCCGACGCACTCAGCCGGCTTCCAGCGTCTGGATCAGCACCCCCTGAATCGGCGGAAGACGTGGATGGCTGTGAGTATGTTCTCCTCACTGAAAGCCTCAACGATGGCGCCTTGTCGGCTAAGCAGTTGGCCGTTTTGACGGCGGAAGATGATGGTTTCGCAAAGGTGCGGAAGTGGGTACAGGAAGGCTGGCCCTCTCGTCTAGCACTAGAGGACAGCCATTTAAAACCCTACTTTGACAGGAGAGACGAGATGACTGTTAGCCATGGGCTTTTGTATTGGGGCCATCGCGTGGTTGTGCCGCAAGTTGCCAGACCAGCAATGCTACGGCTACTGCATGATACGCATCAGGGAATGGGCTCCATGAAGACGCTAGCTCGCTCAATGCTGTGGTACCCGTGCATTGACCAAGATATTGAGCGACTCGTAAAGACGTGCCATATTTGTGTGCAGGCCGCACCGATGCCACCTAGACAAACACCTGTTCCGTGGCCGGAGACGGGGCGACGCTGGTCCAGATTGCACATCGATTTTGCGGGACCAGTGGATGGTTTTATGTTGTTAGTTGTGGTAGATTCACACACGAAGTGGATTGAGGCGGTGCCCATAAAAAGTGCCAATGGGGTTTCTACGGTTGAGGCGTTGCGAACGGTATTTAGCACCTTCGGGTTGCCAGAAACCATTGTATCTGACAATGGCCCACAGTTTACATGTGAAGAGTTTGGAAAGTTTCTGCGGCTCAATAACATCGTTCACCTTCGTACGGCACCTTACCACCCCCAGTCTAATGGGCTGGCGGAGCGCGCCGTCCGTACAGTGAAACAGGGACTTAAAAAAAACAAGCAAGGGTCGCTGCAGACTCGTCTAGCAAGGGTGCTGCATCAGTACCGTCGGACACCTTCCGCAGGTGGCAAGACCCCGGCCATGCTGCTAATGGGATACGAGCTGCGCTCAAGGCTAGATAATGCGGTCGTACCCCCACCATCACGAGTCAACGATCGGAACGACACTTATACCAACAATCCTGTCCACACAGGGGAACCAGTATGGGTGCGAAATTTTGGAAGAGGTGAACTGTGGACACCAGCTAGAGTACAGTCCACGGACGGCGCACGCATGGTCACCGCCGACGGCAACGAGGGAGACGTCCTTCACAGACACCTCGATCAAGTCAAGCCCCGGCTTCCCGAAAGTCCACCGGAAAGTGCTTCCAGTCCGTCACGTCTCCCGCCGCCGGAGGCAGCGCCAGGCCTGCAGCGACCGACTCGAACAAGGAGAGCCCCAGTGCGGTTTTCCCCCTAGGAGGGAGAAGACTGTTGCAGATCGGCTACGCCGCCACAAGCACAGTGGCGCTTGTCATCTTATCTTCCACCTTCTCTCTCCCTTTCCCTCTCGCCTTCCCCTTGCCTGTCTACCATATAAAGCGCAAGCTGCGCACGAATAAACGTTGATTACCAGCCGCTATCGTCACGTTCTTGCGGCGTCGTAACAAGTATAAAGGAGGTTCTGGTACATCTAGGCAACGCACATATTGGAGTTCGCTTATCTTCGCCCGAACAACGAACGTTGCAGCACGACTGTGAGCTACCTATAGTCAAGCCAATGGACCAGTAAGCAGAACTATTACATTTTCAAATGCACATTTATTATATATATTTTTATTAGTATCCATTCGTATTCATGACGCATAAATCATTGTGGTCTACCGAGGATTTGAGCGAAGAATGAAAACCCCATACAACAAAATACAGTCATCGACGCTGACCATGGTGGTAACAAGTGAAACGCAATTATCGTTGTCACTTGACAGATGTTTACTTTTCGGTGAAGCGTTTTTCCGTCCCCGTGTACCGTCGAGCCAACACCGCCTAGAATAGTCAAAACAAATGCACTGACATTCTGACGTCATCGCAGTGAGATCGAGCGCAAACACTGATTGGACACGAGCGTTGCGTCAGCATACGGCTGAAAGTCGTGTCCAATCGATCTGTCGGAGGACACTCGGTGGCGTTCTCGGGCCCAATTGCTGAGCAGGCGCCTTCCGAGTGTGATCAGGTTGCGTGGAGTTGAAGGACCTTGTTCGCAGGCTTTCATTACCCTGTACTCCTTTTCACTTTAAGTTTAACCGCAGACGACACTAATAATCGACAGAGCCAATCAAGCAGCAACAAAAGTGCATCGTCACGGCGCCCGTTGTTTTTGCGTGTTTAGCGAAACGGAGTGTAGGTGATGTTGACTTGAGCCCCTTCCTTAGATAGCAGTTACTGGATACCCGAGTGCTTCACAGAAAGGTTAGCGCGCATGCATTGTCAGGGTATACTGCCCACCCAATTGGACTGTTGCCGTAATCGACTCATCTAAATGTACAGATTAGATATAAAATACGGGTTGCCAAACCTGGTAACGAAGCATCAAAGTACATCGAGGGACAATTTTAGAAAAGCAGTGTCGTCGCATCATGACGAACTCTGCAGTTAGGCATGTAGCGCATAAACGAAGTATATTTTTTACAGCATTGAGACTAAGAGAAAACCAACATTACGTTATGATTTCTTTACCTTCATTTTTTTACTATAAATTCAGACATAGAAAAAGTGTGTACAACTAAAATTTTAAACCATCGAGCAAGTAAAGGTGACAACTGTCTCACTTCGTACATATCTTGCATCACAACTTTTACTAAACTCCAGCTTGGATGTGCCTTACGCACAAAAAACGTGACAACTCAGTGCGGTCCTCGTAAACACGCCTATACGAATACGATGATTAATCGTCGTGAAGACAGCCGCGTACCGTCCTGAATCTCTAATTTAGATCAAGTTCCGCTTCCGACACACCAAACAACTTGCGGGCCAAGGACGGGTCACCTCGTTCTTCTTCCTCACTCTTCCCCCACGCCAGATTCATTTTCCGGGCAATTTACAGAAACCTCCGCATCGTCTTGCTCGGGAAACACTGCGACTGACACGGCCATTAACCAACGTCGACGTCCCACGCGAGGAATCGGCGGCAGAGTCGACGAAACGTCAGCTGCACTCCCCTAACAAACGAGAAATGGATGCGGACTGCATCCATCTCAGGCATATAGCGTCGCTTTCCAACTAAGTCAAAGTGGCCCAACTTGTGTGAGTGTGTGTGTGTGTGTTTGTGTGGGCGTTTGTGTGTGTCTGCGAGTTTATTTTGGCATGAGCGTAACTCTTAACCTTGGGAGTGTCGTGAGGCTTTGGTCTATTTCGTGTCAACCTAGAGGAAGCATTGGGTCTCGAGATCTGTTGTTGACATTGCCACAGGAATGATTCTGTTTGAATTTCGTCGGATCCTTTAAAGCACAAGTGCAAAAGTCTGCGGCTTTCGTTTCGTTGTGTGTTTTTTTTGTTGTTGTAAGAGTTTGCTTTATTGGCATGTGAAGCGTTCATCTTGAATTATAAATAGAAGCTTTAAAACGGCAAGCGATCGTTTCTTTTTCATTCTGTCTTAGGCGCGAGTTTTTCAGTGTTGATACTGGTATGGCGTTGCGTAAACTTCAAGTGTGCACGCCGTTGCAACCAAAAAAAAAACTTTCTTTGTTTGCAGGATTACAAAGACTTTGCCGTTTTTGTCTGGTGTGTGATGAAATTCACGCTAAATATATATTTAGTTGGTATCTGAGTGGCTGTCGTAACAAGTCAATCAGTTCTCTGGTTCTTTAATGTAAGTGGACATTGTTTCTTAATAATTATAAGATGTTCACTACCTCAGAACTCATGAATAGATTTCAATTGCGCCTTCTACCTTGTCACCCTTTTCTGGGGCCAGGAAGCAATAAAACAGTATCTGAGGTTTTTTTTTTTTGTTTTTTTTTTTAGAGAGTCCTACCCAAAGTTGCAATGTTGTGCTCAATTGGAATCCAATTGGTCACACATTTATACAAAAAATCTTATTTTTTTCTCTCTCCTCATTGAGATGCGAAAGGAGAACAGAAAAATATTTGCAGATAATCTCAAGACGGTTTTTAAATTGCCCGTAAATAGTCTTCTTTATTTTTTCTTCTCAGCAGCCTGATTATACCGCATTAATAAAAAATATTGTGTAGCTCTCCAGGCTACAGTCCTACCCGCTGCACCAGCTAACGTATACAGACGCGTAAACACTTCAGTTTTGTTTGTTTTGTATGAGTGCTCCTCGAGGAAAGTAAGCGCTACAGAGAGTGTGTTTCAGCCGGAAGATAAAAGCAAATGCAATTATAAAACATAGCAGGCAAGATATACTGGCAGTTACCTCAGAATCAGATACCACTGCTTTAAGTGAATACATGAGCTGCCTGAATAATAACTATCATATTTATTTAAACAGTTGGAACACGCAATGGTAATCCCCAATTGATAAGGTATTGTATTCATTATTTCCACACCTAATAAGATTTTAAAATGCAATATCTCGGGGGAACTCCTATGACGACGAGGAAGCAAGAATTTCACTAACGTTCGAGCTTCCATTCACTAATGACGTCCCGCTCAAAACACAGGATGTATACCCAGTCAAACAATAAAAAAACAACTCGTGAGGGTTAGAACTCTCTTTGTTTCACTGCCCCTTTCTTACACTCTACTCGTTTCTTATTTCTCACGGGGTTCTTAATGGAGCTATTCCATCATATACTAAGAAATCATCACATCGTCAGTTTATGTCACTAACAACCCCCTACCCACTCGTATAACAAAAAAAAAGAACACAAATAAAATCGCGTGATGTTTTTATTTTTTTGCTGCGTACACAACGACTTTGTCGCAACAGACGTAAGGACCGGATCGAGAAAGGAGGAAAAAACGATAACAAGGAAGCAACACTAAAGCCGCCCGTCAATACTCCACCAACTACCAGACACAAACGCGTGTACGTGTCAAAAGGAGAGGGAGGATATTCTTTCCGTTCGATCCCGCAGCACTACAACGTAAGCTGTTATGCCGCCGAGGTTTGTCTGAAAAGCCTATCCTGACGCTAGAAGGAGAGGAGAGGCGACTCCGGAACACGAACCGCTCAGGGAGTCGCATCGCCACATAGGGAAGAAGAAGGGCGGGAAGGGGGGGGGGGGGGGGGGGGAGGGAGGGAGAGTGAGAAATGGACAGAGGGAGAGAGAAAAAGCGGGAGACGAGAATTCTTCGATCCTCGATTTATCGAACGGTCCGGGCTAAGGAAAGCAGCAACGGGTACGTATGCAAGTCGTGTTGCGTGCGGCTCGGCGTTTTCGGGGCACCAGATTGCCGATGGAGGAAACGGAACGCATGTCTGGGAAAGCACGTGATCGCCTTAAATAGCAAGAAAGCGTTTTTTTTTATTGTTTTTTTTTTTTTTTTTTTATTAGGTTTATAATTATTAAAAGAACGCAATAGCCAAGGTAGCGGCTGCTTTTTCTCTTCTGTGTACCGGCTCGTTGACAAATGAGCGGGGTTTCCCGGAGTTTGGTGTCTGATATTGTTTCTTTGTTGTTGGGTGAAACAAGACAAAAAGGAACCTAAAAAGATCTTCATAGTAACTTTGAGCAAGGTCCACAATAGCTCGTAAATGTTTTTGTTGGTCCTCGAGGGAGTGAGCGTGCGTGTCCATCTGTTTTGAATGGCAAAATACGTGGAAAGATATGTTTCATTTATTTATTTTTTTATGGGGGGGGGGGGGGGAGGGGTGGAATTGCATAAACTTTCAAGGGGTTTTTGTTCCTTGTCCTTCAACTTAACCTATACGAAACTAAACGAATTCTATCTATGAGTTTACGATAATATTTGCCTGATTCCTCTATCCACGCCATCATCAAACATAATTATGCTTGTACCGGATAAATGTTTGCACGCCTTGATTGTTTCCTCGAGTGACTGCCGACAATACTTGGAAATCCCAAAGTTCACGGCTATGTCCAGACTTGTGCTCGCTACTTGAAAAATGTAATGGATTACAATTACAAATTGCCGAGCCTCCAATGTAATAAATTACCATTACAAATTACATTGAATGGGTTAAAACAGCGCAAAAAGACGAAGGACCAGTAAAAGGAAACACACAGACACAGCGCTGACTTACAACTGAAATTTTTTACTTCTGTGCCATTTACCAAGTAAACTTGAAACCAGCTAAACATACAAGGAGTCGACTCAATAACAGGTCATCTTCACATGAAGCCGACACGTGGCTACACGTATTTACCCACATTTCTGATAAAATTCATCTCATCACTAACCAGGGCAAGTGACGGAACACTTATGCACATGCCCGCGTCATGGTTGGCAATAAAAAAAAGCTTCGTCAATCTCCCGAGCATACATAGTTTTATG